TCATTTGTTTATACACTCTCACTCCTTCTTTTGTTTCATCTGTCTCTCTACACATCCTCTCTTTATGACATTCTATTTATTTCAACTTAGTTCCACTCTTTGCAAAGTTCGCAAAGTTTCAAGGTTTTTTTTTTTTTTTGGACAAAAGAGCAGAAGATTTTAGTTTGAGCTTCTTTTACATTAAATGGTCCCTTCAAACCATATTGCTCAATTATGCATACGTTTAACAAGTGGAGCTTTTGAGTCGTGGGAGATGTTAGAGCTTTGAGAGGACAGAGATAACCTTACACTCCAGATGGTTTATTGCACAGAACCATCTGGGAGGGCTTCGCTGGAAACTGCTTGGAAAAAGGGCTGGTGCTTTCCAAAAAAGCACTTGGCAGGTGATTGGATGAAACATCTGCCTATCATATGACGTAGTAGGAGAGTGCCGAACAGGAAACACAACACAGCAACAATCTGCAGCCTGAGGAGCTTTGAAAGCTAGTTAGCGTGTCAGTAGACAGTTCTTGCCATCTTTGCGAGGAAAATTTGTGCGTGCCTCAGTTTCCTCCCACACTGCAAAGGCGTGACGTCCAGGTGAATTGTACATGTCAATCAATCAGCTTAAAAAAAAAAAGAAGCCAATAAAAACATTTCAAAATAAAAGTCCTAGTGTAGGTGTATTTTGTAGTTGTCAAGTTAAGTTGTATTACATAAGATTGAATGATCAGTGTTTAAGGATAGCAGGGTTGTTGGAGACAAAACATTCAAGTTTAGTTCGCCAAAATGCAATGCATCACATTTTTTTTATCATAGATGCAAAAGTTACTGTCCGTAGCAACACAATCTGACGATGATTGGTGCAAAATCACACACTGCTCACAATAGTGAGAGTCTGTTATATAGATAGCAGGGAAGGAGTGAAGTGATTTTGGACACAAGCTATATTTCACTGTCCCACAGCACAAAATGACCATAACACACAGTAGGCAAGGATTCAGCAGGATTTCAATTAATACCAATGTTGTATGAAAATCACTTCACATCTGTGAACTTAGCAAATAGTAGCAAAATCCATCAATTCTTTAATTAAACAGTGACTGTGAAAATAGCTGGAAAATAATGCTGTTGTGTTAATAACAAGGAAAAGACATCCCAATACAAGCATACAAACATTTTAATAGAAAGGTAATGTAGCTCTCCCACTCATTCACACACACACACACACACACACACACACACACACACACACACACACACGCACATACACATACAAACACATTCACTCAGACACCCTCATAGATGCAGGCCACCACTGTCGTCTCTGCGGTTACTATGGTGATATCGATAGATATCATCCTTCATTCCCCTGAGTGGCAGAATGGTAAGTGGGGCAGAACAAAGGTGAGACGATGGTCACAGCGAGAAAATACAGAAGTTGCATGTGAGGAAGAATGTACTGGAATGAGACACACACACACACACACACAGACACACACTGACTTTCCATCAACTCTGTATTGACATGGCAGCAGTGCCATACAGGACCAGCTAATGACAAATGAATCATTCTGTTGTGTCTCACTAGTCATTGTATTGTAGCTTGTCATACATGACTCATGGATGAAGAGCAGGCATGGATGGAAATAACGACAAACAAAACAATGATGTCGGCATTAATCACTGACATCTTAAAAATGCTGTAAAGCCTAGAGAGGTGACGCATTTAAGCACATCTACTCTGGAGGGAAATATTGCATCTGAACAGTGATGGAACTATTGAGTTTCTTTACCTAAAGCTGCTATAATCAACGTTAAATCAATATTTAAATACTCAAATGACTGTTTAATTTGACAAGGCTCGCTCATAGTGACAAACGCGCAGAGAATAACTTACCCATCTCTGTAGCTCAGCAGAGCTGTGTGAGTGTTTCAGCTCATTGATTTGGTTTTTGAGATCGCAACCTTAACATTTTGGTTAAGTGTCGTCTCTCACATCAGCCTTGTTTCAAGATGCAGCAGCCAACTGCTTTTTTTTTTTTTTTTTTTTTTTACACACAAGCTCTTAAAAACCCAGCACACGGGATACCTGCGCAGTGCTGAACACAGACAGCGACTAGCTGGTGAACATAGTGGAAAATTGACCATCTAAAATCCAGATATTTCCCTCAGGCATCGGTGGAGAGCAAAGCAGAGCTGGTGGCTACAAACATGACTTCAAATAAATACTTATGTTGCTCAGTGTTGTTCTCAGTACGTGTTTGCTAACACGTTTGCCATAGCAGCTTTAAGTAAGAAGTAATTGTGATAATATGTCAGGTTTGTTTGTGGCTAATTTAACCTCTTTACTCTGTAAACGCTGTGCTGTAAAGTTTAGTCTTCCCCAGCACACCACACGAAGCTGATCGTATGTTTCGTGTGAATGAGGAAAAAGTCAAATATTTCTCTCTTGGATCTAGTTTGTAAAAGTAAAATTGCATTTGACCACTGCATCTGAGAAACTCTGATGAGGGAACAAGCAAAATGATGTTCAGACAGTGGTACACAGATAAACTTCCCTGCTTGTCGAGAATAAACATTAACATGCTGCAGGCTGTATCCATATGACTGACAGGTGACAGTAACGGCTTATTCTTTTTGGATGTCTCTCACAGATGTTATATTGACAGATATTGACGCTGTTGTGACAGAGGTTGACATTGGTATGTAACGAGTGCTGAGCTGGTGTTGGTGTGGCATGCGTTACGAATCCTCAGAGGTTTCGTAGTCTGCATATTTGTATATCATCTTCCCTATGTGTCTCTCCGTATGTGTGTGTGTGTGTGTGTGTGCTGCCATACCTGCTCAGCCGCCTGTCTGTGTGTGATCCTTGCGAGGCGGCTCACTTTCTCTGACAGCAGTCCTTTTGTGTCTACATTGTCCTGAGCTGCTGCAGGTAATTTCCCCACCTATTGTCCCCTTCCACACTGCCAGAAACTATAATTCAACTCTAACCAAGCGAGAACAGTACGGCTCTGTTGAACGCCGCTTCAGTTAGAATGAGACAACTCAGGGAGTGAAGCACGGCTGGAGCGTGTAATGGTTTGGGGACTTGTTATACCATGCTGCGACTGGGCGGACTGGGCCTGGAAATGGAGACACACAGGGCACACATTAAATCCAATACACACTCCTCAAAGTGGATGCTCACCTCACACTGTCTTCAGGCTGTGTGAGGGGAGGTGCTGCTACTGTAAAGGCGGCTGTCGCCTGTTTTTAGATGTGTAGAAAGCATTGTCTTTTTCGGTTGAGTTACAGCATGTCACTGCATGTCAAAGCAGAGTAATGTAAGAGTTTGTGATTGCTGGCGCGCCGGCTCTGCACTGAAACGTCACAGAGCTTTGACAAACAGCAGCACGTCTTTCAGTAAGGCTGAAACTGTGTAACACAGTATCTGACAGCTGACTGTATTCCTGCTGCTGTCATGGGAAAACAGGAGAAACTGTCAGCCTCTTTGGTTTTGATGTATTCGCTATTTGTTTTTCTTGGCTTCATATTTTTCATGGGTTGGACCCATTACACCCTTTCTGGAATAACTTTTAGGGTATTGCTGTTATTTGCAAAAATATATATGTTTACGCATGAGGGAAACGCAAAGTCTGCATCCAGCAGAAACAGTGTGGTGTGAAAGAGTGATGGCAGTGTAATGGCTGTGTTCTTGGCTGTATTACAGTTACCTATGGCAGAGATCGGTCAGCGGCTGTGGCTGCTCGAAGCCTGACTCGCAACCAAAACCACCGGGAGCTTTCAAGTGTCTCTGTTCATTCATCCAGAGACTGCAGCACTGTCCAGCAGGAGCAGCAATGGGACACTCTTGAGTAGATTAATGGCGGAGGCAAAGAGACGGGCCAAGGATGGAAGTCATACAGTTTGGTTGTGCTCGTGTTTTGTCAGCAGCGGGGGCTGAAGTACTGGAACAAGGCCTAGGTTTGGGTTTGGTTTTGCTTTGGCTCTGGTTAGAGGATGGAAATGAGCTAAACGGAGGAGCAGAGGTGGAACTTAAGCCAAGGTGCTCTTGCGTTTTGTCTGGATCTGTGTTTGAGAGGGAGTATGGGCTGTGACCAGGGGATAATATGTAGGTGTACCTGGAGCATGGTCACCCAGAGGACTTACTTCCCTTATCCAATAGCATAATACTCTACCTTTGTGGTCCGGCAAAGCCCTTTCCTGTGCTGTCTGACCTTTTGTCTTCTTAATAAGCAGCATGTCCAAGTACGCTCTCCTCATTTTTACAGCTGGAATGATGAGAAGGCCACAATACATGGAGAACTGCAGGAGAGATATCTAACAGGAGTTAATGGGCCACTAAGGGAATCTGTGATTTTGAAGGCGGGGATGTTGTAACCACTACACCTTCTCTGGGCTTTCACTGTTTACTTTCTCCACCCCCTTCTCTTAAAGTAGACATGTCTAAAAAATATATAATCACCAAATTTCCATTTTGGTTCACTGTAACTCTAGATTTCAGGGTTTGTTTGAAAAAGACACTTGCACAAATATAGCACTAACTCACAAGAGACTTGGCCTGAATGAGCTATAGATAAAACACAAAAAACACACAACATGGTGATGCCTCCACATGCTGAGAATATGCCTGTTTTAAGTTCCAGCACATAATTTGTTTGGAATGCAAAGGGAATTTATCAGATGATCAGATGATGATGATGAGAGGAGAGGGATTTTTCATTCAACTGTCACTTTGTGTTTTTTCTTTTTATATTCTTTTTATGCACAATAGGGAAAGGCACCAAGTACAAGAAACAAAATAATACACTTGACAAGATGACAAAATGGAGTTGGGAATACAGTTGACAAGAGTACAAGAAAAGGGGTTTAGCGGCATTGTGTGCGGTGTAACCTAATAAAAGTATGCAGCTACATCATTATATGGTATGATATGAGCAGGATATTTGCAATTCTGTGACAGGCGTCGGTTCGAAGGACGTTAACTGACGACTTTGTTTCTCTTTATCTTTCAGAAAGCAGTGTTCACGAGGGAAGCACCGGCAACGACAATGATGGCAGCGTCTGTGGCAGTGACTCCGCCTTCTACAAACAGAGTGAAGGTGAGCCATTAGGTGATGACAGGGCAGCATTTTGATTTAAGGCAGTTCAGATTAGTTATTTCAGCAACAGTATAGCAGGAATATAATTATAGTATAATGGACATAATCTTTTTCACTTTACAGTTCTTTCTTGCCCGATGTTTTTGCCATATTGATTTTTTTTCCCACCATTTGTCCTTTGTTCCATTTTCGTAAAAGCCTGAGCTTTTATGTTTATTACCCATTAATTGTTGCCTTAACAAATAGAGACCATTCCGTAAAGGGCAAGAGTGTGTGTGTGTGTGTGTGTGTGTGGGGGGGGGGTCTCATCGGTGCAACACAACACTGACATTAACAGCAAACGTACCGAGACAGTCGTATTTTCAACATTAAACTGCACACACATTAGAATTCACACACATACACAAACATAAATCCACAGCACACATAAAACCACTGACAGGCCTTCTCACACAAATGCACACATACGCAAAATTACAGCCTCCTACACACCACAGACAACACTTTTAGACCCACATGCTTGCGCCATTTACACAAGCACACACAAATAAATATTTAAACAACTAAACAGCCGCAATGTCATGATAAACCTCATTTCATTTATTAGGCAGTAATTACCTATGGGTTGTTTATGCAATGATCAAGATCTGCCATTTAGATAATGGCAGCTCCCACAAACAGACAGTCTCTATGTGTGTGTGTGTGTGTGTGTGTGGGATCTATGCTCTCATCAGATTGTTGTGTTTAAATGGACCATACCAACAGAAACCCTTTTTTTCTTTCAGCTAATGGTTTAAGGCCTGTACGAAATCTGCATTTTGATTTAAGTGTGGGTCAAATTAAGTGCTGTAATGCACAGCTGCTAAGCAGGTGCATAAAAAAATGAAATCATGCAGAAAAAAAGTTCATATTCCAGCTCAATTGGCACCAGTTTTATTGAAAATGCAACGTTCTCGTCATACACTTTCATCAGGCATCAAACTCACTACACTGTTGCCATTTATATCTTCAATCTTACCTTACCTAAAGTTATGTTCAAGCTCCCTCCTCCAACACTCTCCTCTCACCTTGAGACACCTCTGGACGCTGGTTGCTTGCTGTCATTAGTTAGCACTTGAGCCAGTCCAACTAAACCCAGCTCTAGGTACTGTGCATTATATTTTTAGAGTTTTTGTTGGGTGTCATTTTAGTCTCTGATGTTCTTAGTATCAATAATTGCTTCGTTTTGCTGCCTCATGTACCTTACTTAATTGCCTCCAAGAGCTGTTTTCCTCGGCTGCTGTTGCTACAATTGCTGACCAGGTTGGAGAGTGGGCTTAATTACCAGGCCAAATTCTAATCACTCAACATTCATCCTGAGGGAAACATGAATATCTGTACCAAGTGTCATGGCAATCCATACACAGCAGTCCATGAGCCATTTCACTTAAAAATAAAAAAAATGTCAAATTCACAAAGGCACTAAAGGAAAAGGCTGAAATCATTTGGAATCAGTGAATTCGTTAGCATTCATCCCCAGGGAACTATGAATGTCTGTGGAAAATTGAAGGGTAAATTCATCCAATATTTGTTGAGTCATTGCCGTTCAGAGAGCTTTGCCTCAAGCACCAGTAAACTTGGTGTTGGCAGCGTGCAGGAATCAAATTTGTCTTCTCCATGTGGGCAAAAAGCACGGGTATGCATGTGTGTTATTGAATTAAAGACGGTCTGTAGCCCTGTCGCAAAGGTGTATGTTTCACAGATGTTTATGTATCTGTGTGATATCAGGACACAGTATGGCAGAGACTCTCACAGTCGCCCTGCGTGTTGCTGAGGAGGCTATAGAAGAGGCCATCGCTAAGGCAGAGGAGTTCAGTGACAGCTTGGTAAGAATCCTTCTGTTCCTCTTCTTCTTCTCCTCTCTCTTTCCATCCCCTTCTTTTCTTTTCTTTTCTTTTTTGTGTTTTTTTTTTTCCTCTTTGCTTTTCATGCCTGTATTTTCTATCCCCACTGCCTCTGCCATAGCCTCTTACTTCTCCTCTCCTCTTGCCTCTCTCTCGGTGTCAGTATCAGCGGGATGCAGTCATGGTTTTTGGCTAAGACGTCTGCACAGACCCTCTCCTGGTAATTCACAGTCGCTTTGAACTGAATATATTTGTGTGTGTGTGTGTGTGTGTGTTTGTGTGTTTGTGTGTGTGTAGGAGAAGCAGAATGAGGCTCGGTATCTGCGGGACCACAAAGAAGAGCTCATAGAGGAACTTGCAACAACCATTGTACAAAAAGTAGGTTGAGTAAGAGAGAGTTTTATTTTGGCATGTTTACTTTCCCGCTTTTATATGAACACACTGAGTGTGGTTAACCTTATTAATAAAACGTATTCGCGCACTGAAAAGTGATGCTAGGTCCCATCTCTGTCTTCACTTTCTCTGTCTTCACTGTCTGACTGACAGATCAGTAGACCAATGTCATGTTTAACAAAAGCATTTGCATTGATGATACCTTTTAGAGGAGACATGGCTCAGGAACACAGGAAGTTTAAGTTCTTTTGAAAGTCCTTTTGAAATTGAGATTACAGTATTATTTGAGAAGAGAGCAGACAGTCTTTGAAAACGATATTTTAGTCTGTCGGAATCTGCATACAAGTACATTAAAATTCAAACAACTGCTTTAATTTTAATCATATCTCCTCATTTGCATACACATAATAAGTGGAGACAAAGTTTGCAGTTGTTTGATTGCTTTTCAGTTTTAATTAACTTTTGTTGGCCATCAAGTCTTTGAAATAGAAACTGTATTTTTATCTCTACTTTAACGTTGTTGGTGCATAATATCACATGAAAATTCAAATGAAAACTGGATTAATGGTTTTAGGGGTTTCATTATAACAAATTATTCATGGCTAAATGCAAAATACTGTTGTGGAATTTTATTTCCATTTTTGCAATTTGCATTTATTATTACAATTCATTATTTATATACGGCTTGCTACGTATATGCCGACATACCACAAACCTCTCTCATTCTGTCTTATTTCACCTTCTTCTTCCCCTTCCTGGCTTTTTTTTCTCAGATCATCCAGAGGAGGAAGCGTTCAGAGATGCAGACAGAGTATGACTTTGTCTGGCCTCAGCCTCAGTCCTTGATTCAGCCCAGTGAGCTGCCCTCTCCATCTCAACCTCACACTTCTTCACAAGCACCACAGGACCCCCTCAAGACCCCTAACTCCCTCTGGGTCAGTCCATACTGTCACTCAAACTGTACAAACTCGCAAAACACAGATGACACGACAACTGGCAACCATATGAAGTGAGGTCAAAACAAAACTGCTGCTAGTGAGTGTAAACTGCTGATTCTTGACCAGAAGGATTTGCTCTTTGATTGTGCAGCATGTGTTTAAAGAAGGGTGGTTTTTTTTTTTTTTTTTTCAGTGTACAAACTGTACATTCATCACTTCATTTCACAGTACATATAGTATAATGACCTCTGTCTGTGTTTTGGTATGTCTTCATCTGGGTGGACCAGCCGTTGTCTCAGTGTTTTTGCCAGGTTTGAAAAACACAGGAATGTGGTGGTTGGCAGAAAATGACTTCAACTTTTCAGTATCGCCAGCCACTTTGTCGATGTGGTCCCATTTAGCATTGTATTTTGTAGTCCTAGCGAAAACCTGTGGTCATGAGTCTGTCTCACTTATAATTAATCCTTTGTGCAAAGATGTGATACTTCCTGGATTAAAGTGTTCTCTAAAGTGAGGACCGTTTTTATTAGGATGTTGCAGAGCCAGATACAGATTTAAAAAACTTAAACTAATTTAGAAGATTGTTTGGACTTGGCAGAGATATGGTGTCTCCATGAGGAATAAAAATACACTATGAGGCAGTAAAGTAGACCCAAAGGTATATGGTTAATAGAACATTTTCCACTGTTTTGGAGAATTTTACAGTGGATTTTGTTTTTAAGTAGGCAAAAGGAAAGCATGAAAAGTATTGCAAATGTGATTTGTACCTAGTATGAATCAATTCTGATTCATATCTTGAGAGTGAGGAAGGAGAAAAGCCAGAGACGACAGCTTACCTAGCATTGTTTTGCTAAATGTTCCAGTTGGTATACAAGTACACATACGCAGCAGCAAACAGGTTGTACAGATACATAGTACGCACAGGAGCGCATTCACAAGAATCAGCAGTACACACACACCTGACGGTGGTTCACACTACTAGTCAGCAGGGACTCACAGAGATTTGTCATCGTCCCATGTGAGAGAGGCATCAAAGCTGCGCTCCCCAGGCCTCTCCGTTCTGTTTCCTGCTGTTTCACTCAGCGAAGATCAAAGTCCTGTGAAATTCGGAGGGATCCTCTTCAACTGCTCGGCCTGCCATGGGACGGGCTCTGTTTATCAGCTCTTTCCAAACACACTCAATGAAACACAAAGCGTGCACACTCAAATCTGTGCTTTACCTTAACATTGATCCTTGCTGTAATGGTAAATACAGTTGTGGGTGGTTGCATGCTAGCCATTATAATAATCACTTTTTTTTTTCTCTTATTCTTCTGTGTCCTGCAAGATCCTGCTTTTTGTTTTGATGTTAAATCAAGATCTGCTTCAGATACACTGATTGTTCACCAATAGGACTGCACCTGCATTCGATATCCCAATGACATAATGGCAGAAGCTCTCCCTCTTATACAGACACGCACACACACGCACGCACGCACACACACACACGCACAGGCACGAAGACAGATTTGTAGCGCTTCCCTTGTCCAGCTTGTTATTTAGTTGTTTTCTAGCTCCACCTGCTGTTGAGAATTATGACTCACAGCCACAGTTGTAGTCTTTTCCTTTACATCGTGTAATTACTTTATCACTCTACTACCATTATACTTAAAAAATAAAAGCATCTGCCCACTGAATAAATGTAAATCTACTTTATCTGTTCCTGGCTACTGTGCACACTGCAGTATTGCACTGTCTGGAGCTTCTTTGACTGAAAGTCTGTTGAGCTTTAAATTTCCAGAGCTGTCAAACATACCATTCATTCTAACAGTTTGATTAAATTTATCTGCGTGTGTGTGTGTGTGTGTGTGTTTGTGTGTGTGTGTGTGCAGCGGTCTCGGTCAGCGTTCTCCCTCACCAGTGACGACTCCCCAGAGAAGGGTCCAGAGGAGGAGGGCGCCGGAGCAGGTGGTGGCTTGCAAGAGTACGCTTCCCTGAAGAGGGAGGCCAAGGCCACGTCTCTACCGAGCTGGAAGAGTGTTGATCGCCTAGACAACTCCAGTAAATATCACTAAGGCTAAGCAGACTTCATTTGACTTCTCTTGCTGCCAAAGTTGTTGCAGCCACTAATGTCAATTCAATGAATTCAATTCAGCCAATATTCTGTACCCACTTATAGTATCTTTGATGTATGAGTTATGTATGAGTTAACTACACTCTTGTGTATAAACAGATGTATCTATTCTTTTTTTTTCATGTTAGATGCTGTATTTTCAGAACACGAATTAAGATTAATGCAACATTATGATTCATGTCTCCCTTTATGTTTGGGTCATATTTACTGTCTCTCAGCAATGTATTCAATTCTAATTAGCCTTTGTTTTACATTGCACTTTTAAGTGATACTTCACCCAACATCCCCCTTTTTCATTCAGCCTGTTACTCTAATGGGTCAAACTCTTGCATCCCCAAAGGCTCTTGTAGAAAGTACAGGTGGAGATACACTGTAAGACTTTCTGCTGCTGTCTGCTCATGTGCATCCAGGTGCATCCTCAGTGCTCCAGAGCCCAGACGGTAACTGGATCGCTCTGCACAGTTCTCAGCTGTCTCGGCCCAGCCTGCTCACCAAGAGGAAGAGCCTTGTGTTCAGTGTGTTGGAAAAGGAGTCAGGCGTCGTCTCAGCTTACGACGAGATGGGATCCGACTCTGACGAGGACAATGAAGGCGGCTGGGGTTCGGCGTTGAGACAGTTCCGGCGCAAATTGTCCGACGAGACTTACTACACGGACTCACAGCACGACCCGGAGTGGACGTACACCCAGCACCTGCCCATTACCTCACCATCCTCTGGCCAGTACACAAACACAGAGACTCTCAACTCAGACTCTGAGGCTTCGTCAGTGTTGTCCGCGTGTCCTCGCAAAACACCTCATAACCTGTTGAGGAAGAAAGGACCACCGGAAACACACCTGCATCCTCAGCACCAGCCCCTGTACCACCAACACCTTCAGCAGAACTGCTCTCCGTATCCTCTCCATTCAGATGCACTGGATGTGAACTTTAACCCTAAGGTGATTTGTCTTTAAATGTATAACATTACTTAGTCTACCATACAAAGTCTGGTGTAAACATAGTCTTTTATGTTGGTAGATAAGATGAATTTACACAGAAAATATGACGTATTGTGTCTCACAGGTTGGTCATGGAAAAAACAGTATATCTACATAAATACATTAAAAGCATGTGAAAAAGTAGACCATACAATATCTACTTTTCATAAGTTAATAATAAAACATATAAATTTATAGGCAGCAGTAGAAGAAATGTTCACATCCTTTGTTTAAAAAAATATCAATATGGGCCCCTCGGTGGCTCACCTGGTAGAGGGCGTACCATATGGACTTAGTCCTATCTGCAGTGGCCCTGGGTTCAAGTCTGACCCATGGCCCTTTCCTGTATGTCATCCCCCCTCTCTCTCTTTGACTCTCCTGTCTCTCTCTCACTGTACTATCAAAAATAAAGGCAAAAGTGCCAAAAAATATAACTTAAAAATAATATAAATAATATATATAATATATATATATATATATATTACTTTCATTCAAAATATTACTAATATATTATTAATATTATTATATTTAGTGAAAATAAAGAACTATTATTAGCAAATTAACTTAAAGTAACAAAGTAAAAATACTCATACTGCAGAAAAATGGTTCCTGTAGTAATGATAGCAATGATATTGATGATAATTATAATGATAACAATGATATGTAATAATAGTAAAAATGTGGTATGTTTTATCTACTTTATATACAGTTTGGTAGATTTTTTTGGGAGGCGGCCACAAGATAATTTAATAGTTTAATGAGGCAGGAAAGAAGAAAAAGCAAACTGTGCTACACAACTTTGTATTTGTGATGTGTATTTTTTCTAATCTTTGCTCTTTCTGTGAATTAACTATTAACTAAGAGATAATCTTTTAGCCTCTGACAATTATTTAAATGAAAAGGGAAATGTCTCTTTAGCCCAAACTAGACTCTTAATCTGAGAACTAGGTAGTAACTACAACTGTAGTGGAGTGGAAGTATTGCAACATCAAATGGAAATACCCCAGTAAAGTACAACGACCGCATAAGTGTGTTTAAGTACATTAGCATTGAGCAAATGTACTCAGTTCATTTCCACCACTGTTCCCAGGTGATGGGAGACAGCAGTGAGGCCGAGGAGAGACAGAGCGATCCTGTCAGGAGGTCACGGCGACGCAGGAAAAGCAAGAGGGAGTCCTCCACAGAGCAAAGCAGGCTTGGAGGCCAGAGCCACACACAGTCCATCTACCCCATAGTGCAGGTAAATTATCACAAGTATAGTTGATTATTAATAATGTTTTTGACTTGAAACTGTGCCAGAGAAAAAAGGTTCTGTGTGGTTGTAAAACATTGTTTTACCAGTTAGAGGCAGTATTTGTATTTGCAGTCCAATCTAATCTCTTCAGTAACTCTGTAGTCTTTAGCATTTTTGCATTCATGTTCCTCCCTCTTAATTCAAGGAGAACAGTGGTTTTCTGCTCAACGCCCTGCTGAAGAGGGGTTTAAGTGAGGAACATCCAGTACCAGACACTATGCCAGCGGCCACAGCTGCACCAGACGCCTTCAAATTAGATGCCATGACACCAGAGCCAGAAGACTTGGACACGGTGGCCCCGAATTCAGCGTCCCTGAGCCCCCCGCAGTCCCACTCTCTAGCTCCGGAGTCCCAGCTCTCGGCCAGCAGCTCAGGGCCCGGAGACCCTCTGGAGGAGGAACTACGATCCAGACTCAGCCAGCTGGTCAACCGTGCCAACAGCAAAGACAGCAGCTCATCTGAAGAGGAGTGCTCAAAGTGGCCTGTGGACAAGCAGACAGATAAAGAAAGTGACAGACAGAGAGAGAAGACGAGGCTGAAGGACATGGAGAGAGAAAGGCAGAGAGCAAGTGACAGATTGAGAGAGAAAGCAAGTGAAACAGTGGAACAAGTGAATGGACAAGAGATGAAAAGAGGTGAGAGACTAATAAAGAGTCTCTCTGTGAGAGAGGAAGGGAGAGTGAGGGAGAGGAGGTTAGAGAAAGCAGTGGAATGTTTGGAAGAGAAAGTAGATGACCAGGAACAAACGAGAGGAGACAAGAGAGAGCCAAACAGACAAAGTAAGAGACAGCATAAAAGAGATGTGGAGAAGGAAGCCGCACAGAGAGGAGGAGGAGGAGGAGGAGGGAGGAGGAGGAGTGGCTCAAGCACAAGTTCACCTGCTATTACACCTTCATCCCAGGAGGGGGTGCTGTCAGATAACCAGGTAAGGAGATTTTTAAAAAGTACCATGTATATTTGTGTCCACTGCTCGCCTTCTGCTTTTGTCGCTGCACTGCTAGAGCTGTACCTTCTGTCTGTCTGCCTTATGATACATCTCTTTTCCTTTCTGCTTTACTTCCCCCTCTTCATCTTCTCACCGTATCCATGTATCTGTGTGACAATCACTGCTGTCCCTCATCCTGTGTCTTCCCTCTTTGTGCTTCTCTTCTTTTTTGCTGCCCTATGTCTTTTCTGTGTGTGCACGTGTGCGTGCGCGTGTGCGTGTGCGTGTGCGTGTGTGTGTCAGGAGGGACAGAGTGACTTGGAGCAACAGCAGAGGCTTCAGTTGCTCTCCTCTCTCTTACAGCAGGTGAGATATCGACTAGAAAGCTAAGGCATCCTGTGATATCATGTGCAGGATGCTTGAGGACAAACTACTGTAATTAAACCCCCACCCAACCTCAGTGCACAAATACAGCGCACACACATGTACACACGCATGTATGCATGCACAGATGTGTAAATATCTTACACCTATTCAGACAACACATCCATTGTCACTAAATGCACTGTAATGTATTTACTTCTCACTTAAATGTCCAGGCATGCTGGTTGTATAACGGTTGTGTACATGTGTTTATAATGGTCTAACTTTGTGTACTGGTGTTATATTTCTGTATTTCTTTATGCAAATAATGTAGACAGTATCACATCAACATCCAGAAAGGTAAAGTTCAGCCCCTTTAAAGTAAAATGGCAAAGTCTATTTTCTAGAGTCACGGCTTTGCATGAATCATACAGGAAGGCATCTGACAAAGAAGAGCTGCAAATTTAATTATTCCATTAATAAAAACCTCAAAAGGTCAGAATGCAACCGAGCCACAGGCCCAGTTGTGTTTTGTGTGAGAAGCAATTTTTTACTCTTTTTGACTGGAAAAACTGCCTCTGCTCTGTTGCTATCACTTTCTTCATCTACAGGTTTAACCAATTCAACATCTTAGCTGGTAGTTGCGTTCTGTGAAATGTAAGAAACAAAGGCAGGCAGAGTTAAAATGGGTAAAGTAAATTAAAAATACTTCCTAAAATGCACAGAGCATGAGCATCCTAGATGAAAGTAAGTAAATTCAGTTTTAGTTTAGTTTAAGTTTAACCAAAACAAGTTCCAACAATAACAATTAAAATGTACTACACAGTGAAAAGAGACATCCATATTTCAAAGAAATGAAAATGACACCCTTTATATAATTTTTTTTTTATATATATAAAAAAAAAATCCCTAAAAAAAGAAAAATACAGAAACTCCCAAAGTCAACATCAACATCTGCTTTAATTCTAGTTCTGTTCTATTGAAGTCATTTTAACACATGAACGATATCACAGCTTTATGATACACACTAAATCTGAGCAGGTTTGGGAATGTAGTATGTTCGTTACAAAGTAGCAACAGTAACTGTAACTAGTATTAACCTACTCAACCTATGAAAGAAGAATGTCAGTATGCGTACTAACCTGTCTAACCATTCCTGAATGTGCTGCTGATCTACACTATTGTCCAGCAGTGCAATGTACAAAGGAAATACGGAAATACTAAGGCTTCTGCTTTTTCTTTGTGAATGTGAAATGGCGGTGGCATCCCAAAGTTGCAGTTTGATTGATGTCTGCTGGCGAACACATTGCATTATTTCCTTTTTAAATTGTTGAAGTACATTGATTCCTAGTATCCTAATGACACAAGCCTGTATAGTGTATATGTAGTAGGCTGCATACTGAATGTTGTTAGTATGTATTGTGGTATTAGAGGACAGTGTAAATATCCAAAAAATCAGACACTGCCCTCACTTCATCAACTAGATGTCAAACCTATATTCCCTTAGGTTAAAAGCAGTGTTGATATTTTCACATAGTTAATCCACTCAATTCATGAGTCTAAGTCTAAACCCACACAAACTCAAGCAAAGAAACACACACACACACACACACACACACACACACACACACACACACACACACACACACACACACACACACACACATTCACACACACACTTGGGCATGAACTTATGAGCTCACCTCCTGTACTATTATATTTGATGTGTGTGGGTTGATGTTGTGATGTTGGTCATTAGTCAGACGTATTATAAGAGCTGCTGTGAGTAATGCTTGTCTTTTACAATGCAAATGGCACATGTGGTGGGACCCATTTCTGCTGGTTTTTGAAATTTGCCAAGATGCTTCAGTTTGATGTGAATTGAAGAAAACATTTTTTTCATTACATACAGTATATGTATATACATACATATATATATATATATATATATATGTGTGTGTGTGTGTGTAAATGAACTGACACATACATACTGTATTATTTGTATAGATAGGTATGAGTCTGCAGCTACGCTAAAACCTCTTGTACTTAGGCGCAGCAGTTAAAATGAGAGAAATGAGCAGACAAAAGACAACAATGACCTTTACACTGAATCTATCAGACCGTGAAGGACTGTGAGAGTGTAAATGAGGTGTTGAACCTCAGGATGCTGAGCAGCATATTGCCTGTCAGGAGGAGAAGGTCAGTGAGTTCTCTACCGGGCTGAAAACGGAGACTAAAGAGAACGAGTCTCTGTCAAAACAGGGAGGAGTATCTTACCACCGAGCTCCAGAGGCAGCAGACCTGGAGACTGCAGAACTCATAGAAGCAGGAGAAGTTTGCATCCATCTAAGACTCCTACATCTCAGCCGCTTCCACTATTAACAGCTGTATGTACGCCACAGGGCAGCATGTATTTTGTTGTAGTTGTAAAGTTAAGTTGTTAAGTGATATTGCACACAACACTGAATGATCCATTTTGAGGGCAGCAGGATTGTTGGACACAAAACGTTCAAATTGTATTTATCACTGGCTCCCTATCCCTGTAGCTTCCCTATCTTGTGGTATATTTTTCCATTTATTTTAAGGGCATAATTGTGTCAGATTTATGCACTATATAGTGTTCTCCAATTCCTCACAGTTAAGCAAAAAGAGTACATTGCATGTACACTACTTTCTGCAAACAATCCCCTAAAGGTCTTGCATTTTACATGAAAGGTGCAAAAATTATTGCTGCATGACAAAGGAAGTGATTTCATACATGGCCTATATTTTACTGTCTCATAGCACAAATATCTATTTTGATTAATATCGGTGTATAGACGCTGACAAAAGTACAATACATTATATTTCTGTCTTAATATGGAACCACAATAGATTTTTTTTAGTTGAGTTTATCGTACATTCAGAGCATTGAGACATATATGTATCTGATTTTGATCTGCATGGTGACGGACCGGTTCTTTGGAGTGGATGAGAAGAACAGACTCTCACCAAACATCCATTTCTGCATTGACCAACCCAATAAGTCAATATCTCAGAACGTCCATCTCTGCTGCTCGGGCTCCTCTTAAGATCACCGAATGGTGATTAGACAAAAGAAAAGAGGTTTGGTCCTCAGCCTTTTAATTTCTCATCCAGTTCTGTATCTTGTCTTTACCAAAGCAATGCCCCTCATCTCTTACTTATCCCTACCTGCCTCTCTGGTCACCAGCTTAGACAGACTGTCCCACTGTCTGTCTGCCTGAGAGAGATCAATACACGTCCGATCCCAAGATTAAAGCTTTAGCCAGTGATTCATTCATTATTGATTTACATCTGTCTCTCTTTACTGCCCTCTCCTTTTCTTGCTCTGTGTTTTCATCTATTCAGAAAAAAACAGAAGCTTTCTTTAAAAGTCATGTCCACCACTGAATTATTATTTGTCACAGACAGCCTGAATTTGGAAACTATCTTGGATTTGGATGAACAAGCTGCTCTAGTTAATCAAAACATTGACAATGACAATGACTCACGTGGTTTTTCATTTTTCTAGTGGCATTTTCTCAAATTAATTAACTGACCTGTGATATTTAACGACCTTATTTTTTACTGATTATTTTTTATCAGCATGTTCTTATATATATTTTTTGCTTTTGCCCATAATGGACAGGCAATGGATCCCTGTTTAAAATTTATAGCTGATTGAATTCCTGATTCTTTAGCTGCATAAGCACCATAATTCCTATTCTAGAGATCATCGTACATCGCTTTTTGAAATGGGCTGCAAAGTAATGAGAAACATTCTGTCCACTGCGACATTTAACTGTTCAAAGCCCGAAAAACAAAAGATAAATCATTCCTCTGATTCGACCCTTCGTTGTTTCCCTCGCTCCTCCTCCTTCCTCACTACAGCATTTTTTGCACCGTCTGATTTGTCTTCCAGGTCAAGCATGTGCAGATGTGCGTGTTCACAAAACACTTGATTAGACGTCAGAAAAAGTGTGACAATAATGTGTGTGTGTGTGTGTGTGTGTGTGTCACCTGCACAATGTTCTTTTACACAACTTTGCAGCTTGAGCACACAGGGTTAACACGGGGTTAAAAAACACAAAATGTTTTAAGCGGTAAAGGTACATTAAGTTTATTTGCTCCTCTTCAGTTTCAAATGTTTGTTCCTACTCTAATCATTTTATAATATCCCAAAATTATCATTGCATAAATGTAATTTGTTACATCCCCTTCCTCATTATTATTTCATGTCATTACACTACATTAAACCCTTGTTTTGTCGTTAATGTGGTGTTTATAGATTTTATGTACATGCCTCCCAAATGTTTCCCCATACATTAATGCCTTTGTCTCTTAAAAGGTTTCTCTGTTCTCAGGATGTACCATGTAGACTAATGACAGTTCTACTGCGTGTGTGTATGTGTGTGTTTTTAAATGAAGCAGAAGTACTCGGCGGCCTCTCTCTGCAGCATCACTACAGAGGTGCTGAAGGTTTTGAATGCTACAGAGGAGCTGATTGGTGAGGCCGGAGGTGAGAGCTACACCCCGTCTGAGTCCATGAGCGCTTCTCCCATCTCCAGCAGCTCGGAGAACCGCAGGCTGGACCAGAGGCTGACCAAGATGGAGGAGAATGTAAGTCCAATATTTTAACCCCTCTACGGATTTCTACTCAATAGTAAAAGGACTTGGTGAATCAATCTTAATGGGAACTAAAAGTCTAACTCATCTTCTCCATGCAGGTGTACCTTGCTGCCGGTGCTGTCTACGGCCTTGAGGGGGCGCTGGGAGACCTAGAGCAGTGTGCCCGCAGTATTAGCAGTGGTACCACAGACACGGAGCTGGCCTTCCTGGAAGACCAGGTGGCCACTGCAGCCGCTCAGGTCCAGCAGTCTGAACTACAGGTACTGAAGGAGAACACACTTCTCGACCTTATATGCAACTGCTTTGATCTTAAGTTGGCTTTGCGCCCCAAAATATGGGGGCAATGTTCTTCCAGCTCAGATTCTGGGATTTTAGGGCATCTTTACACGCTATCTCCTGACTAAAACTAAATAAAGATTACAAGAAGTATTGCATGAATCATGTTGTATTCATTGTATTAATCTTTGTTGAATTAAATCTTTTTCTTTTTTTTGAAGATATCAAACATTGAGGCCAGGATATCATCTCTGAAAACAGCTGGGTTGAATGTGACTGTCTGCAATCGCTTCTCCAGATACAAGGTATCCCGCTGCCCTTCAAGTTTCCTAACACTGTCACACACAGCCATGCATACAGTACACTTAATACCAATATGTATATATATATATATATATATATATATATAAAATCAAGAAAAAATAGTAGATATAGAAGCATATATAGCTATGTAATCAGGATGATTTGCGATTTTTTTTAAAATGTGCTTTAAGTGTATAACACAAAATTCTCTGATTACAGCCTGAGACTCTGGACTCATCACGCCATCAACGGAGAAAGCTTCCAGCACCTCCACTGAAAGGTACCCAACAAGTTTATTTTGCTCTGTTCAGAAAAACCATAAAGTACACACACAAAATAAAAAAAAAATGTATAAGCAGAAATAAATAAAATGTAATAAACAGTGAGGATAAGTATCATTTTCACTTTGACAAATCTGCCCCCAAACCTAAATATTTATTGAAATAAATTGATGTGAAATGAGACTGTAATTTAGTGTTTATAATAAAAGAATAGTTTATTATGTGTCTTGTCACTGAGTATTAAATTTAAACCAAAATAAAAAAAAATAATATATTAGCATAATTAGAGTTATCAGCACTGAAGCAAAATTAAGGGGTTGATGCAGTCTAAACTCACACCAAATACAAGATTACTTAACATTTTCAATAATTACTTTTCAATTATTATTACTGGGGAAAACACAATCATCTGTTTCACTCCGCAGTAGTTGATGTAAGGATCCAAGATGTGGAAGGTGTGTACTGCTGTGATATTCTACCCACCTACTACTTAATACTTACCAGTCATCAGGTTAAGCAAAAGTAAAGTGAGTTATACAGTGCACCGCATCGATCCATACTCTCCTAACCACAAACACTGCTTAACAGGCTTGTACCCGCTCTCTAAGTGTGTGAGTGTGTGCATGAAAGAGAAACAGCTAGAGATGGACAGTGAGACAGAGATGAGGGGACACTTTTATTCACCTTTAGTTCACGTCACACATTTTGCGCTTTGTCCTAAAAGAAGAGATCGGCCGCTGAATGGATGCAAAAGTGAATACATCTGCTAGAAAGGGACTAAGGAACTGAAAAGCTCCATTAGATGTAACGCAGCCAAATGGAATCACACACAGCACAGGAGGATAAGGCTGTTTTATCAGACAACAAGAAGTCGGTTCCTTTTCATGTCAGTGAAAGCCTTTTTCTGTTGGGGCTTTTTTTATTTTCTTTTTGTCTTATTTTTTTCTTCACCAGCATCCACACAATAAGCTCTGATTCAGGGTGTCTTTTTCAGCGGCTTCACGGCTACAAAGACAGCATGCCGGACAATGGGGCAAAATCAGTGACCAAGACATGTAATGATATCATTGATTTCAGCTGAGAGTGCCCTTTTTATCAGTCCGTCATACAGCATGCTCTAAATTCATGGCCAGGAAAACTGTCCTGACATTTGAGATATAAGTCAGCTGTGTTCCTCTGGATCATATGTGATTGATAGTTTCTCTTTTTCTGGACAACCCAAGCTTTTTTTGCAGGAGATTTCTTTTTAAAATGCTGCTTTTTCTTAATGCTGGGCTATCTTGCATTTCAGAAAAGTTGGAGCCAGAGCAGCAGGTGAAAGTGTTTCGGCCATAGTGACAGTCAGGCAGCACAACGAGTCCCTCAGGGCCACTTCAGAACCCCAGGGACGGGGGCCGTTCTCATCCAGTGCCTTGACCCAGCGTCCGCCTTCAGCTCAAAGCCGAGCAGGGACCAACACCTGCCCTGTGTGACCCACCAAGCACTGGCTCTTTCCCTATTTCCACTTTATCCTCCATTTTCCCCTCACATAACGCGTCAAGCACGGATGACTCGACAGCTGGTGTCTCTGCCTTAAAATCTGCAAACACTCCTCATGACCCAACTCCAAAAGAATACCTGTACAGACAAAGAAAAACTCTCATTTCCTTTTTCTATCTGTTTGCAAGAGTATTGTGGTTTAATGTACAATGAAGATGTGGAAAAATCATGTGAAACTTTCTGTGATTCAGTGTCCCTAAAAGAGGCTGAGCCGTGTTTTATACTGCATCTTCTTTCTCACCAAATGATATGTCATGAGGAATTTTATCATACTGTAAGCCCCTCCCCTTCAGAGCTTTTTTGGATGATTGTCAGTTCACACACACACACACACACTCACACACACACAAAGCTATCATTTTAGGGATGATTGTAAAACCTTTGACATTTTAACCATTTTAATGCACTTACCAGAAAATAGTGTTTGATTGAAGAAAGTATCAGGGTCAAATCATTTTTGTCCTTTCCTGCCGGTAAAAAATACTAAACGATAATAAATGAAAATAAAGCACAGTTGAGAAATATGTCAATCATGGTGGACAGCCTAAAACAAACCAGTTAAAAGAATAATGCAACATTTATATAATGTCCTTATTCACTTTCTCACTGAGAGTTAAATGAGGGGATCCAGACCACTGGATTGCACACTAAATATAAAGAAACTACATTATAGCTATCTGATGGTTAGTTAAGATTAGCATAACAATGAAAAACAGGGAAACAGTTAAAACAGTTAGCCTAGCTCACAGAAAAGGTAAAAAAAAAAGCCTACCTCCATCTCTGTAAGTGGCAATAACTGATTTTTTAAATCTTTTTTTTTTTTTTAAAAAAGCAGCAGAATCAACGAACACAACACTGATCACATATTAAGTTGTTGCTCATTTATACATATTGCAGTTATGGATTACTATAGTGATGGCTATCATTTGGATTTTGCCACCCAGTGAATGTAAGTCCAACATACACTTTACTTTTAGCCCTGTTTTTAGTCTCTCAAAACTCTTGAGGGAAGTATCTGGCTCTTTAGCTGCTAAATGCTCCTCTATTTTCACCAGCTAGCCACTAACTGTGTCTGTCTGATGTTTGGTGCTGGGCAGGTAGTGGTTTTTTAGAGCTTTTTTGCTGAAAACAGCTCCATGCTCTAACGGCAGTGAGAGTGAACTGAAACAATAAAGTTGTGGGACTGAAAGCCAAACAAGCTATAGCTATATAAAGCTAATAAAGCTCCATAAAGTCGAGGGAACCTGCAGATTTGGGTGATAATGCTCTAGGTTCATCAGGAAAAGTGACTTTCACATTGTCATTTCATACACTGATATAAAATGATAAGTTATAGGCACTTTAAATCATACAAAAAGACATATTTTTGGTACCTTTAGACAGAACCATGCTACCTGTTTCCCTGTTTTGAGGATTTTAACTAAGCTAAGCTAAGCTAACTGGCTTCTGGCATTAGCTGCTTTTTTAGTGGACAGACATGAGAGTGGTGTTGGTCTTCTCATATAACTCTCAGCAAGAAAGCAAATTAATGTATTTTCCAAAATGCCATACTATTTCTTAAATAAATGCCAACTGTAATGAGGATTTTTTTTTTTCCCAGGCAGCGCTCTCCCATTCATTTAGAAAAGGAAATATTGGTAAGACCTGATCAGTAGATATACGTATGCTAAAGCCTTAATGTGGAAGCTGTTGGCTTTTACAGTGAAATTAGTTAAAATAAGGTTTGAATAAGTCTGAGTGTCAAACCCATATTGGGCTCAACATAAACCTGCATAGGTCTGACATTCAGGTCTGGTTTGAAAGAGTTTTTTTTTCTTAATTTTATTTTTATTTGGAAAGGACAACATCAAAGAATATACAAACAACTGCAGTATTTTTACAGGAAGCCCTTTTCCATTTTTTATATGTATGCATATGTATGAAAAGAAGCAACTCAAGACAGAGTAGAAATTGTGGGCCATAATTCAGACTTCAGGTACATTTCCATTCACCTCCACTTCACCTCCAAAAAGAGTTTATCTACCTCTTTATACACTTGTCCTTATATAGGTGTTAATATATACTGCATATCTGCACCCACCCACATACCCGCAAATAAACAGCAAATAAATACGTGGCCCTTTTTCCTCTCTCCATCATCAAAGTTTTCAATTTTACTTTCTTAGATATGTTCCTTCCCCCTCTGTTAGAAATGTATTAGAACCATAGGAGCTTACTTTATTTCTATTCCCATAATGAGGAGGAAAAAATAGAATACAAGATATTAGTGGAATCAAATAAAGGCTGCTTGCATTGGGGTTATAAATTCAATCCATTTATTCCAAATTTGGTAGAATACTTTTGGATTGGAGTGTCAACTTTTTCCAGTTTAAACATTTCTAATGTGGGTGATACTTGGTTTAACCGCTTTCTAGTAATCAATTTTTTACTTGCTGCCAAAAGGCCCTGTAGCGGCTTTATATCTGTCCTCTGTTTAAAAACAAAACATGACCCAGATAAAGTGTCCCCAAGTTCAGAAGTATTTGAGTGATGAATACTGTACTTAATGTTTTGTGAATAAGCTCATTGTAGTGCAGTCCCAAAATAACTGAAAATGATTTGCATCCATTGATCCACATTGTCTCCAACAAGCCAAATTTGTGTTCTTATATTTTTCCAGGTGTGGGGTCTTAAAATATTTTATAATATTTTTCCAGCATTGTTCTCTCTGTTCTAGAGAGTTAGGTGAGGACCACTGAAAGCTGCCAATTCTCCCCCACGCCTCCTCAGAAAGCATCATGCCGGCCTCTCTTTCCCACTTTTTCTTTAATGAACAAGGTGTTTTCATTTTTAGCAAGAGAGCAATGTACAATTTATCATTGTACAATCAATGGACTTGAAAGCTGATTTCAGGATTTAAAAAAAAAAACTCATATTCTGCTATTGATATGTCTGTAGATTTAAAGTTCTGAGAAAGCGTTCTCATTTTTGATACTTTTTTTTTTAAATTCTTTTCTCAATGCAGTATTCTTCAACCCAAAGTTATTTTCTTCCTCTCTGTCATTTTCTTTGTTTACTTTAAAACATTGTGGCCTTTTGTTTGAACAAAAAGGTATCTTCATGTTCTCCCTTTGCTGGGTCATGTCTGAACTTTTTGTGTTGCATTCAGAAAATCTTGTAAAGATTTTTACAAAATGAAGTCTGATGGGCTTTATAAACAAATGCCATGAAACCATGATTTTGTTACAAGCAATTTATTTTTGTACTTAATGAACGTTTTTATGCAATACCACTGAGATAAGTACTATTGCAAATTAAAGGCTTTATTCCCTCCTCAAAGGAGCCCTCCTCAGTCAGTCCTATCATATGTGATGACTCAAAGTGCTTTCAGTGTATGTCTGCATTTACCATTTGATATTCTGCAAGTAATGACGATGGTAAATGCTACAAAAACACGAGTGACAACAGGCATTTTAGGAGCGGCTGGTACGGTTCATACTGTGTTTGTACTTCTTAAATGCTAGATTTGAGAATACTGCCTTTTATTTTTTGGGTTCTTTTACTTTTACTCTGTGACCACTTACATTAGTTTGAATATCAGTTAGCCATGCACATAGTTGTCAAAGTTTTTGCTTTGGCTACAGCTTAAGAGCAGGGTTGGCTTTCCTGCTGGACTGCTTGAACTAAAAGGTGTGATGATCTTCTGTATGAATGCTCTGCCCCTTCTATTAGTGACCTTTTCATCCCAGCCTTTCACATCTCTGGTTTTGCACACTGATCCTGTACTTTTGTCAATCTTGTTCTCCAGAAGTGTCGATGTATAAAAAGCATGTTTCTGGTTTTATCAAATTGATGTAAAAATTTCCCATGAGAAGCACAGCCACAAGGGTCCAATCATCGGTGTCCTGTATTTTTCTAATGTAAAAAAAAAAAAATATTATCTCACCACAGAATTTGTTAATATATGTATATGTGTGAAAAGATGGATATGATATAGAATAATGTGTGTATTGCCCAATCATAGTTGACCAATCTTTCAGTGTTGTGTGCAAGAGACTGTGTATAATTGTTATGACTGGATTCACGCAGGAAATCTAATTTTCTACCGTAACTGTGTCCCAGATAATCAGAAATAATGAGATCCACACAGCTAAAAACAATATGACTTTTGTTCCTGTTTAAATCCAGTGTGAATGACTATGAAGAGGTTCACTGTGCACAGCTCCACAGGCGGGCCATCCACTTTTATGTGCAATTGTTTGTTGCGATCCATATGACATGTTGGGGAAAATATTAACGTGCAAAAAATACAGATTCTCTATGTGCCACAGTACTCTGAGAAAAAATGTATAATGAAATGAATAAAAATTTCAAATGTAAAGCTTCCTCTTTTGAAAGAAAATCTCTGTTGTGCACCTGCAAATACAGGAAGGGGGTATCAACACATGTAATCACAACATCCTTATTTATTAATCAATATAGAATACATTTTTATGTACAGATACATTTGGAGAAGGATTACATCAAGGATACTTTCAACCAAGGCCTAAGAACAGACACCAGAGAGAAATACAGTTTAGAGGAAAAGAGTAAATAACCTTAATCAAGATAAAAAATAAAGACAACTCGGCGTTTGTGGATGGGAGGCTGAGGGCTCGCTGTCACGGTAACCAATCTCTGTCTTCCCCATTCAGCACTTTCCCGAGGTTCTCCTTATTCCTCAGGCTGTTGAGGAGCAGCTCCAGCGTCCTGACCACAGGCTGCATCCCCCCGCTGCCCAGAGCCTCCACGCTGCTGTGTCTTTTCCCAAAGCGTCCGATGGGTCTGACCCCGCGCCCCACGTACCAGAAGGGGTCTATCTCCGGACCTGGACCGCACACAAGTACATCACCATCATGTATCATAGCATGTGTTCAATATCATCTGCTCAGTTTGGGGACAGAATTCACGTTTGAAAAAGTGTTGGTGCGTACTCAAAAATCATCTCAATAAGTGATGAAAAGACCAAAATTACTGCCACAACCAATGACTTTATGATGGGTACATTTTGTAGTCTTAAAATACAAAATACTAATAATAATTATCATTTTGACAAGAAATTTAAGAGATATTCTAATCCATAAAGTCAAACATAAAGCAATTTTTAGAATCTCAAGTTTGACTTTTCAGGTTGTCTTTTTAAAAATTATATAGATGTAAATATTATTTTCCCAGCTGGTTTAATGCTCCAAGAAAAAAGTATATGGAGAAATTAGTTATTGGTTTTCCATATTTAATCTTCCATTTATTCGTTTAAATCAGAATAGGAGAGATCCTGCTACTAGATCCTAGGTACTAGAACATGATTGTCCTATTCGTTCTACAATTTCTTTGGTATATATAAAAGAATTATATACTGTGTAAAACAGCAGAATTATAAAGTATATAGAAAATAATATACCAACAAAACATTCACTCTTCATACTGTGTGTAATCTATGCAAGTCATTCAAATTATGTGAATATATAGATTTAAATACAGTAACAGTTACATTAGCAATTTAATAATGACAATCAACACCTCAATAATGCTACCATTTTTGTGAATTGTGACAAAATATGATACATTGCAGATTAGATAATAAGATACATTATTGGTAAAAGTGTACCACAAATTACCAGACACTGCTATGCCCTCATTTTTAGCTAAATACAGTCTAATAATATTAAGATTCTGTAAATGCTCCCATTAGTTAAAGAGAGGTTTTGTAACTCACTGACAACATCATAAAGTTTAATAGTAAACACTTTGTAAAGAAGGATATTATTCCCCATGTAAATAATAGGAATATTGATGGGAAGCCATACGTATGAGAAAGTAGTAGAAGGTCACTGTAAACTCACCACTTAGAGTCAGAAACAGACCATAAAAACTTAGGAAAAGTAATAAAATATGAACTGTTTTTTTTCTGTCCTCTTCATATCTTCACACTTAGAGACTTGTCACATTTCCCTCACAAGTGAATTTCCCTCCCTAACCAAGTCTGAGAAAATCCAGCAAATAACCAAAAATAATATATTAAACAAAGCCAAGTCTTACTTCTGTTGTCGACATTGTGTACAATGTGGAAGTCGTGCTCCACCGTGGTGCTGTGAGCACTGCTGAAGCTGGAGGAGAGGAGGAGGAGCAGCGCCAGAGCTGCAAGCAGCCAGCGGCTCATCAGGACGCAGTGCCGGACATCAGCCACTCTCCCAGGCAGCATGCTGTGGAGTCACTCAAGGAACTGAAGAGGACAGAGGGACGGACGCTGGTGAGTAACAACGTCACTCACTGTTAGAGAACACAAGACAAGAAAAGCCTGAAGAAAGCCGAAACTGATGTAGTTAAAGATCAAAAAATATCTCTAAATCAGGTAAGATTATTATAAATTCAGTTTTGAATAAGATAGGAACATGGTTGAACATTATTGGTATGAGAAGAAGAAAAGAAAAAAAGTAGATTTAGTCATCTAAACCTCATTGCTAAGCACCACAGGAATATTATGATATATACTGAATTTACTTGGGTTTGAAAAACACACTGTGATGACCATTAGAAACTCAAATTTGTCATCATAGCTCATTATATCAATCTATCAATATCATATTATAATTATTCACCCTATTTAGTGATGCAGTCACACAGTTTTAATTGTCAGAGTAGATAACACAAATCCACCTGGAGCATGTAAAGATCATCAGATAATTGTCTAAACACATAACCTAAGGTATCCTTATTATCTCGCATTGAATAGAGTGAATTGTCAGGCTTTAAATATATATAAATACATAATGTAATCTCCAAACAGCAACCTCTTACCCTGCACTTTGGTAACAGGCTGAGGTCAGTTGGCGGAGGTCTGAAGTCGTTATTGTTGAGCAGGTGTGCTCCAGCTTATATATCCATGCTGCCCGTGAGGTTGTTGAATGATGAATCAAGAACGTCAGTCACACACAGTGATCCCAGACTACAGGATGCATCACCCCCCTCGCTTCTTCTCCTCCTCCCACTCTTTAAACCCCCTCATCCCTTTGACAAAGGAGGTCTGGTTTTGGAGTTTTCCTGATGTCTGTCACGTAGCAGAGCAATCCATCAGGAAGTGGATGACATGCGGACAAGTTTAAATTAGTGCACATGGGGAGACCCACCATCTCGAGTAGGTCTGTCAGACAGTGACTGTGGTGGGTGGTTTTTGATGAGTCTTTCATCAATCAGCTTCTTTACAAGGGACCGAGCAGGACCAAATCAGCAACTGCAAAAACCTCAGTGTATTCTTGAACAGACTGTCTTGTCACCGGAAACCAAGCTTTTGTAACTGTCTTTTTAATTTGAAAGAAAGTCTTTTTAATTTTTTGGCTGCATCTACTTTCACTTTTACAACTAATGCGATACATTTAAGACATTTAAGAAACAATCTCTCATATCATACTGAAATACAACATTAGAGCTTAGTGCTGCAGCTGGAACAGTGACGGAATAAACAATGGTATCAGTGAGTGAGAGCTTTAAATATACATGATACATAATATATGTATGTACATGTTGAATTTTGTGTTGAGTACATGTCACCACTACATGTGCTGAGAGGTGAAAGCAATGAGTCACAAGTGAGAGTTTATGTTGAGGAGAACTTCACCCGGTTAAATGTATTCAGGTGTAAAGTCGCCCTCAGGCCTACAACAATGACTGTAAAGGTCAAGTTACATGACAATGCTATTCAAAATGCAACACTAAGATGAGAGTGACACACAGCAAGGGGTTTTGGGTATAAATACATTATTTTCAGCTTAGATATTAGTGGTTTTTAGTGAATTATTGAAGGATACCTGCTTGTTCATTCTGACATTTTCATGAATAGAAAACCAAATAAATAAATTCTGAGAGATGTAGAGCTAAAACAATGCATTAATAAGTCAGTTAATCAATCGATCAATAAGAGGTTAAGCTGTGAACCATCAAGATCCAGCTGAAATAAACATTTTCCATGTACGATACTCTCAAATATAACTACACAATTTATTAGAAGGATATCATTTTCTTATGTAGCGTGTGATGCAACTGCATGTGTGTCCATGTGGGTGTGTAGAGTTTCACCCTGCAGCAGCACTTTGGTTCTCCTCCACAGATTTGGGCAGGCATAATTTGTCACCGACTGAGATCAGATTGTATGATGCAGACTATGGCTGCTATAATGAGAAGATAACTACCCGAGGATTTGTAATCACACCGCAATGTGGAAACACAGGTAAATAATAAAGCAGATATGATTTATGACAGCTAGTTCTTATTCGAAAATGAAATTCGTGATTTGTTGTTTCCAGGTGTCCAGTAACAGGTAGGTGTGTGAGGTTTGGTGCTCTGCTGAAAATACATTCAGGAACAATTCATACGGCCCTGTTGGTGTTATGAATGTATTTTAGGGAGAAATTAGGGAGAAATCTAAAAAGTCTTCTTATAATTGACACATATGTAAGTAGAGTATCTATCTATCTATCTATCTATCTATCTATCTATCTATCTATCTATCTATCTATCTATCTATCTCTCTATGGTTACACCACTCTTCATATAGGGAAAATATGTCAAAGTATAGTATACTAGTATATGCATAAAAAACGTCATAGTATAGTAAGGCATAAAAAAGCCATAATATACTAATACATAAAAACATGAGAGGCGACAGTTCTAACCACTGCGCCACCCTGCCGCCCCACAAATGAACTATAGTATAGTTAGGCATAAAAACATTATAGTATAGTATGACATAAAAAAGTCATAATGTAGTAAGACATAAAAAACGTCATAAAAACATCATAGTAGAGTCAGGCATAAAAAAGTCATTGTATAGAAAGGCTAAAAATGTCATAAAAACTTCATAGTATAGTAAGGCATAAAGACCTCACAGTATAGTAAGGCATAAAAAAGTCTACTGAGGTACCCGTAATACATAGTTATATGTTCTTTCTGTCTCTGATATGTGATTGAATTTCCTTCTCTTCATGGTCTCATTAGCACCTGATTGAATGGCTTCATCTTGCCTGTGTCATCTGTGTTTCTGTGAATGGAGGCACAGAGGATCAACAGTCAAGTCACAGCATGTGGTACCTACCTACCTCCTGCTTCATTACACATGGTGTGTAAAATCTCTGACATTGGATGAGCAAGAATATTGTTTTTAGTAAGAATAAAGGTATTTAATTCATAAAAAAAATAACAGTAACAACATATATAAAGTTAAAAGAGATTCCCTTGGTATTGTGGGACATGAGAGCACTGAAAAATGTGGTATTGATTGAGAAAACCCTGCTTGCAGACTGATTAACAGCTTGACCCAGCTCCTCTTTGTGGTCTAAATCATTCCCCTTTTGTGCTACAGTATATTTTGTTAATTGCCTCACAATTCCCACACAGTGTGTGGGCTGGGACATTCATTGACCATGTTTGGGTTCCTCTCTCTCCTAAAAAAGCTTCAACTGGGAAGTCAGCTTGAGTCAGTTACACTGATGGCATTTCCTGTTGAGCTTTCACCCAGAAAAAAAGGTATCTGGATGGCAATTTTACAAGTTCCCCAAACATGAACGCTTCACAATACAAAACAAACATCTTAGTGGTTACACAGATAGTAAAAGCATTGCCTGCCCGAGGATTTAATCAGGTTTTAAAGATTTGAATAGTAGACTCTTAAATTTGGGGAGCATAAATTTGCACACTGTGCATACAGCAATACATCAATCAATCGACATCCAACTAGGAAATAGTCAGAAATAAAAAGACTGAATTTTCAGTTTTATAGTGGCCCAGTGGCCTAATGGATAAGGCATCAGCCTCCGGAGCTGGGGATTGTGGGTTCAAGTCCCACCTGGGTCATGTGATTATCACCTGAATGGAGAGGAATTAATAGTTATATGACTGCGTCCTTCCCATACTCAAAAAGGGAAGTCCCAAGTCAAGTGGAAAAGAATTGCATTGTGATTTACATTTGTGAATACAGATGCAGTGCAAATGTAAATAATACAATTAATAACAGAGGAATTCCATTAATATTGTAATTGGAAAAATCTGACAGGTCAGTGTCTGCTGTGGAGAAGACCGATATTATGTGAATGATAACATTATCCTAATATATCTCCATAGGTTTGTGTCAGCGATGACTGACGAGCCAAGAAAAGTGTATGAGAACAGTGTGGCAACTTCTAAGTCTGATGTCTTGTTTTTTTTTTTTTTTTTTTGATAAACATTAGTACTAGAACTATAAAGTTTTATTTGTATTTTTATGTTTAGTATATATGAAAGATATAAGTTATATCATAAAAAATTATGGTTCTAAAGTCATAAAAATTGATTCTGAAAAGAAATGCCACAAGATGCAAAAGAATGATTTGAGCAGAATTTTTAAAATGAAGATGAGGGAGGACACAAGACTTTTTCTTTGCTTAAATAAAAGTAGCAATACCACAATGTAAAAGTACTTTGTTACAAGTAAACCTAAAAATGTTTGCGCTACAAACACATTTCATGTAAGTTTTTATATGGGATCACTTGCTGCCCCTTTGTGGTCAAATATGTGCACTGTATGCATCAGCACAAGGTTTAACTGCATTGCACTAAAACCACAGACTGATAAACAGCATATATGCCTCCAATTTAAATATTACATTTCTTAAACATTAAGTTAGCTAATATGGAAACAAACCGAACTCCTGAGGGTCATATCGCAAAAAAAAACCAAGACAAAAAAAACCTTCATAAATATTACAACAGCGTACGTCACACATACCCCCCACCACCACCACCAAACAACGCATGCGCAACACGGAGTTAAAGCGTACGTACATAAACACACTTCAGTGTTACTAGTATCAAACTACTTGAATAACCTTGACAGTAGGAAGATGTGGGGTGCCCCTAAGGATACTCTTAACGCTTGGCAGTCTAAAAGAAACACTAAATCTGCCTGAAACGGAGCTTTAGCGACAACGGAAGAAGAGAGAAGTGAAACCTTTAGCTTGAGCTGTAGTTTTTTGAAGTCGCTCAAAACAGTTGTCAGACTCTACGCACTTGCTTCCTGTTGTCAAGTGAGGCTATTAAATATCTAACAGTGAGATACAATGTGAGGCGTATCGCGAAAGAGTACTCAAACCAAGGGCAGGAGAAAACGTGGGAAAAGAGGTAAACAACCCAGCGGACCCCGTGTGTTTGTGTTTGCTTTCTACATGACTATGTTGGCAGGATGTCGCTGAGTTCAGGCGGTTGGACTTGCACCCCTGGAAACACACCGGATCAGTCCGCTGCTCTCCCAAGTCACTATGGGGCCTCGCAGTCACAACCAGGCTGCCAAACCGTCCTCATTTCAGTTCGGGTGTCGGTGTGCCATTCTGGTATTCGGCCACTGTGTCTTCCGGGGGCAGGTGATGAGTCACTCCGCCTGCAGCTCAGCATGGACCCGGGGAAATCCGGGGAATTCCGGTTGTCGCTCCAGGACAGCAGCGGGACTGGCCGGAGTGTGGTGAGTTCACGGCAGCACTAGTGTTGGGCTTGTTGTGATGTGTGTCTCAAACACTCTGTTTTATGAAAGATTTTTGATTAATGCTAGACATGACTCCACACTAACTGCCATCAATTGCTGTATGAAAATTGGTGGAATAAACCCAAAGTTCAGTTTATATATAGCACTGGCTCCTAACCTCTCTGGCTTCTGACCAGGGCTGCATCACGAGGTTAAAAAGGAGTTGTGGACCCCTATTGACCCCTCTGCTCCTCACGTCTAATGTGTATTGTATGTTCCCTGTTTAGGCACCCATCAGTTAGCCTTCACAAAACAAAGTGCACAACCCTTGGCAGCTTTATTACGTTTCACATTTATATTTGCTTAAATCTTGTCTTGTTTTAGTTTGTGGGAATTTTTGTCATTAATCATAACTTTTGGCATATGTGTTAAAAGTTTAGCACAGGACCCCTTTACAAGACAGGGCCTCAACACTGATTAGAAGTGTTTTTTTTCTTTCTTTTTTATGTATGGAATATAAATACTTTTACAGGCCTAAGGAGGTACAACTGTCCAGTATTTCACATGAAAATAGCAAAGAAGACAAAGAAAATACAATAGTGCAGCTACTGAGCCCTTAGAGGCTCCTGACTCTCAAGTTAGAAATCACTGGCTGAGAGGATGAGGGTTTAGGTCACTGTGTTTACCAGTTTACCACTGTGTTTACCAGCATCCAGCCTTTTTAGGAGTCCTTGAGTTTAGCTCCAAGGGTGCTGATATTTAGAAAGTATTTAGTACAAACACACCATCAATTCTGAAATCAACTAGTCCTTGAATAGTGGTCACTTTTGACAGTTAAATGAGAAATTTACATACAGAGCCTTTATTCTTTTCAGTCATTGCCTTTTTGAAACAAATGTTGATTATTACTCAGTACACTATACTAAGCCTGTTGTAATATAATACAACAGTTCTACAATAAATTTTACTTTTCTGAAATTTTCTAATGTTTACATTTTTCTAACAGTTTCAAATTAAACTTGATTGTCATTTTAGAGAATGGAATTTGTGGTACAGCTGAAATGTACTGCATTCCTCTAAAAAGCTTTTTGCATAGTTTGCACTATGGGGTGGAAAATATATGACACACCTCTCAGTATGATGCATTGCAATTCAGCAGCTTGGGAAAGTTTCATGCAAATCCGTTATTGTTTTCCATTAATTGCATTTTAAACTAATTCATATTTGTTCTGTTGTTTGATATTTTCTTAATTACATCCAGTAACAATGTGTATCTATATTTCAGTTTATTACAGTATAATGGAATATTAAAAGTAGGTTTTTACCAAACCATGTGCACACATGCAGTGATGCACATAGTTGCTATTTTGGAATAACATAACCTATGATTCATTTGCCTTCCCCATTCACCCTGCCTCATTTCATTTCATTGTTGCTCGCTCTTCCTCTTGTTCCAGACCATCGCCGAGTTTGATTTGAGGGCAGTACACTATGAGGTGAAGTCACCAAAGTGCCATGAACTAAGTTTGGCAGCACCGCCACATGACCGCATCAGCTTTAACTTCCGCTGTGAGCAGGAGGCTCATGAGTGGGCTACCGTGGTGATGTCATCACTGAGAGAAGCACATAGAGGTCAGTAACCTATCTTACCAAGTACTTACATTTCTGTTTGAGAGCAGCCACAGAGGAACGATGGTGAAAAACATAGATATTTTCTTGCAACAGGGTCATGTGAAGATTTTCAAACCCACTTTCAAATATTGAAGGACGCTTTTGTTTTGTATTCTCAAGTGGTGGAATTCATTTGAGGAAAATGAGCTTGACTTGTCAAACAGAAGACCTTTTCACTGGCTTGGTCAATGCTTAGTAACATCACTAGCGTCAGTCTCAACCACTGTAACCAAGCTTCATATTTTGGCTCCGAGGGAAATTCAATAAATTGGTCTGTGCTGACACACATAATATGCCTTTTTGGCATTGCAAAGTGTATGTAAGTAATAAAGTAAAAGAAAAGAAAGATGACAGTGAAAAACATATATTTATTATAAATATAAGTGTAGAATGCTAAAACTGGTAATAAAACAGCTTTTATAACCTATATAGGCTAACATCATAATGATACTTAAACAGAACTGCACAGTTTACAGCCATGGATTATCATTGAAGTCAACAGCTGTAGCTGTAACACAAACCTAGGCCCTTATTTTTCAACTATCTTAATATAGCAGAAAGTGCTGATGTTGGAACCTCCCCTGGGAATCTCCCTGTGTAGGTTAACTGGACTTAACCAGCTGAGAAGAGACCTTAAAATAGATGTAGGACATGCATAAAGGACTATATTTCCTTCCCAGTCTGGAAGGATCATAAAATACTACTTCTAAGCCATGGGGAAGTGGTCTGAGAAGTAGAGCGTTTTTTTGGGACTGACAAAACATTCAAACTGACATAAAGAATGTGGAGGTGACGGTGCGATAGACAAATTATCCCTGTGGCACCAGACAGAGAAGCCTTTCTTTCAATTGATCTCTGATTTTTAACGCTTTGTAAGTGAAGATAGAGTGGGAGTTGAAAAGCTGAATGTTTCCTGTTGGTCTCTTGTGTTTTCTATTTAAATGTTTTCACTGGTTTTCAACATTTTTCATTGGCTGCAGTTCCACAAGATAATGGTCCTCAGCCCCCCCTGGATGGTCTCCATCTCCAGAACACGTTGGCCTTGCAACGAACAGGTGTGTACACTGATCATTTTCCTGTTAATATAAAATATTATATATATATCTTTTAGATGTGATTTAACTAATTCACTCATTTGGTCATTCACTTTACTCATTCATTCACTGAACCATTGTTAGCCCCATAGTGACTCTTTGGAGGTGTGGAAACATCCTCTGCACAGTTGCCTGTACTGTATGTTCACCTGTGTGGGCTTGTCTGTTTCCTTGTGCATGCATGTGTGTATCCATCTGTAGAGGAAAACTGCATAGAGTTGACCCGAGCCATAGAAGCAGGTGACATGCAGTCTGCTTCTGTCATTGCGGTCACACTCGCCCGACAACATGCTGCGCTCAAGATTAAGCCCTTGGCCAGAGACCCTGAAGACACTGAAATCAAGTAGGAACATGATTTTTAATATAACTGATGCTCAGTGATTGTTTTACGTTGTAAAATGTGATATAAGGTATAATATAGATTTGGCTGATGGTTTGTGTTTCATTTTATGTAACAGTTTGGCTGTTGTAGTTGAAGATTCTTCCTCATCCTGTTGTGTCACTGTGAAAGTTTTTCCACATATGACGACCGCAGCACTGAAACAGCAGGTTAGTCTGAACCTCCTAATTTATTTCTCTCACAAAACCACTATTATTCTGCCTAATTGTTTCTTTATTTCACTGTTATTCTCTGCTAGTTGCTTCCTTTCATTTTTTTACCACTTCAGATGTTTCTTGAATATGGCTTTCACCCGCGGGTGCAGCGCTGGGTGATTGGCCAGTGCTTGTGCACCAACCAGCGTTCTCTTGCCTCATACGGTGTTCGTCAAGACGGTGACACCGCCTTCTTGTACCTCCTATCAGCCCGTCATGCTCGTTTGACGCTCCAAGTCCTGCAGCAGGACCAGGAGAGTGCCCTCCTCCTCAGTCCTCCATCATTGTCCCTCCCCACCTCTCCCCTCCCTTCTACCTCTGCAAACGGCCCCTCATCTCAGGACCAGAGGCCATGCACCACCCTGCCCCCTAGACTCAATACCGGCAGCAACATTGGTGAGTGAAGGCATTAATATGTTGGATTGATTGATGCACATGATGAACAACAAATGGTAATATCAGTGTAACTTGTTTCCTGTCACAACACTCATGAAAACCCTAATCCACTGGTTTATTTCTTTAAGTTTACTATAATACTCTTTAATTCATCGAACTCTTCTTGGTTTTTAGGATCCACTTAAAACAGCTTGCAGATGAATAGTGTACACCAGACTTAACAGGATTCTGTTTCATTTTATATATTATTATGATGTCACAATTGAATACATTTTTAATTAAGAAGAAAGAAGAAGGTATTAGAAGAGAATGCTTCCATTTTTAGTTCTAATATACATCTATACATCAAACATGATATTTGAGATGAACTGTTTGTTATTCTAGCATGACTTTATAGCACCACAGTCACACCAATTTTTAATTGAATCAAAATACTGAATGTAAAGAGATCAGTGCTCCAGATCGACATTGCCTCCTGTATCTGTTCCTTGTGCTATCACTGACTATGTAGTGACAATATAACAATGCACAGTAATGGAATGTGTCAGAATAGACCAATTTAAATGTGCTTAACCGTGTATTAAAGTATTGTTAAAAACAAAAAATTCGATAATCTAATATTATTCAAAATGGTGTATTACTTTCCATAATGCAGCATTGTTTCCTTTACACCTAATAAAGAAGGTCAGTAGAACAGACAGTGGTAACCTCTGTAGGAGGATTTGCACTTGCATGCAGTGCTTGTATCAAAGCTTATGTAACACATACAGATACATAGACATTCACATACTAGTTGAATGGGTACACGCATTCACTTGCAGACATTACCAGTTGCTTGTTATTTACTTTTTTTCCCCCCTTAAATATTTCAGGTGGGTCAGAGAGAGGAAACATCAGTGAGATCAGAGATCTCATCAACCTAGAGATGCCTCAACTCAGTGAAGCACTGAGCGCCAACACGTCTTCCTCCCAGGTAATACACAGGAGCAGTTATGGTGGTATTGTAATTGTAGTATGTTTAAGTGTTTCATTATTCAAGTTTATCTAGGCAATTGGAAGCAAAAAGTAAAAGTGCTAATGTGTGTTACAGGGTTGGTCATGCCCCTCTTGCACTTACATTAACAAACCGACTCGGCCGGGCTGTGAGATCTGCAGCACAAACCGACCTGAGAACTACATCATCCCAGGGGGATACAGACCTGATGCGCTGGAACTTAGGCGAATCCAGCAGGAGAAGGAGGCTATCAGACAGTACCAGCAGGTAGGAAATACACACACAACTGAACATACTATGCACCCTTACATATACAATCATACACCTGTATGCATGCAACAACAGTTTGTGTCACCCATATATACTAAACAAAACCTTATTTTGGGCATATGCTCCAAGGGATAGAGATATAATGGCTCAAACAAACACTTTGCTCAATATGAAAAATTAAGAGTAGCATACCTTTTAGTGACAATTACAAAGAAGGTTTCCATAAACGGGCCTGGATCAAATAATATTTTGTAAAAAAAAAAAAAAAAAAATGTGCTAGGCAAAACAGGGTTCCAAATTGGACAAGATACTCAAAACTAATAATGAAAGGGAAGTATGAAACTGATTCCAAGCTGACATTTGAATACAAACTTGCAGGCTCTCTCAGGTTGACTCTCTTCTCTTCTGTCTCTGTCTTTTTGAAGGAGAAAGGGAGAAGAGAGGTGCTGAGGAGTGCTGGGGCTCAAAACAACTCACTCCTGTATAACCTGGACCAGGACTACTGAACACACAGAGACACAGGCATACACACACACACGCACTCCATGTTCATTCATGTTTCATTCACAGACAGTTTGAACTTGTAGCACCAGTTTTGTTGCACTCTTCAATCGCTTACTTTTAGATCAAGTAATAAATCATCATTCACAAGCCTATGTCTCGATGCATGCCTACAGATATGCTTGAATTGAAAGCATATGGTATTTCTATAATGAAGTTTGAATGTTGACTCATTTGAGATGCACAGATTCCACTGCAGACTATTTAAGCCTTATTTCTGCCTAGTATTGGCCAGATAAGCAATATGAGTGATGGTGTAGGTGCATCTCCGTCTCCAGTGTTTTGCATGTTCATGATACCCCACCGTAGAGAAACTGTATGAGAACAGATGATTTCACATTTTATGAAAATGTGCAAACACTGTTATGGTGAAAGAAGAACAATATAAATCTTCTGATGCCATTATTTACATTTAATCTGAGGAAAGATGGATTTTTTTGTCACAAATATATAATAATGAACTTGTTTGGCCCTGGTGATAATTATCAATCAGGCTTTGATGATAAGACTATGAATGAATATTTGTCTTTGTATTGACCCATCCAGCTGGATAATCATGATCACTGTTGACCTTTTTACATCAAGTGGCTTTTTAATGGACAGAGGTTGCCACTAAATTGAATGTAATATTTGTTAATTTAAATTGTCTTATTGTATATACCCTGTGAAACAGATAATAAAATGTTTATACACAATGTGTGTGTCTGCATGTATGAGCATGCCTGTACATGTGTGTGTGGATGAAAAGTTGTAAATTTAGCCCACAGTATTTTTTATGCATTACCAGTCTCATTGTGCCCCCTGAGGGGAAGTTGTTTATGGAATATACTTTTAACCCTCCCAACAACACCGCTCCTTGTCTCAGGCAAGGGAAGAGGAGCGCAGGGAGAATTTTGCTCGACTGGTGATGATGGACGGCCAGGATCTGGTGCCTAACCCAGGGCCTGTGGACTGCAGGATCTGCTATGTGGACCTGCAGCCTGGAGAGGGGGTCCTGCTTAGGGAATGTCTTCACTGCTTTTGCAGGTAAGAATCAGGAGGTTTGGAGGAATCAAAAAAAAAAAAAAAAAAGTGACAGTACTGTGTACAATACAATTGAGTTCACCCCTGGTCAATATCACTAAAATGTTGAGTAAATCTTGTCAATTTAATGCAATTTTATTTATCTTTAGCCAAAGCCCAAGAAGAATGAAAAGAATCAACTGCAACAAAAGTCAGTACACCCCTCATTAGTGAGATTCCATTCTTGTATTTATTTTTTTATTGTTTGTATATCTGTATTTATTTTCGATGATGGATTTGGTCGTCTTTGCTGGAGGGGTTTTGTTGCTCGAACTTCTGCTTTAAAACACTCCAGGGATGTTCTATTGGATTCAAGTCAAGTAACAGTCATAGTCATAGGTTTCACTTTTCGTGGCATCTTTATGAAGTCTCACAATCTGGTTTACTTGTTCAGGCAGTTCCTTTTATTGTGGAGCCATGTCGTATTACACACAACCCAGGCCAAAACTGAGAAAAGGAGTTATTTATTAACATTGTTTTATAAACTTGTTTATGTTAGCCTTAATTTGAAATCACAGGAGTACTCACTTTTGTTGCATTGAGGTTTTACTCTGGGTCCCATGTTTTCAATGTAGTACCCTACAGTGTAATACCCTACACTTCAACTTTAAAAATACAATCATTCTAAGATGATACAATTTTTAATCATTTCATGTTTTGGTGATATTGAACAAGGGTGTACACCGTTTTTTTGTGGTGTCACATCAAAGGAGGGAGCATAAGGGTAAAAGGGAAGAAGCAGTTGTGTAGCCGGGAGAGCGGCTTTTTTTAGACCGATAAAATATCCTGGATGTTTCTCTTGATTCAAACAATTCTTTGTCTGTATTTGTGTGCATCCCTGCCCAGAGAGTGCTTACGCTCAGTCATCATGTTGAGTGAGGAGCCCGAGGTGCCCTGTCCCTACAGAGATGACACATATTCCTGTACCTGCTCCCTGCAGGAGAGGGAGATCAGAGCTGTGAGTTACATCAACAAACATCTTTGTTCTGATACAACAGGTTAAGATACAGTACCTTTTGTAACTGGTGTATTAGCAGTCAATATTAGCATCCTAAAAGCATCAGAATGTTTAAATCAAACTGTACATGATGTTTCAATTTAGCAAGAAAAGCTCCATTCAACACAGTCAGTTCCAGCCAAGAAGCTGGAGCTACTGCTCTGCTACTTGTTTTTAGCAGTGTTTGGCCTCTCCCCCTGTGGAAAGTCTAGCTGCTCCAGCTGTGATGAAGAGACAGTTGGCCATATGGACATAGCTGCTATGTGCTAATCAATAAACTGTGATCCAACCAGGACAGGCAGTAGTTTTAATTTAGCCTCTGTGTGAAGCGTAAAGTGGGTTGTGGGAAAATGTGTTTGAAATGACAACCAGTCAAGCTGGATTGGCACTACATGAGGATTGTGTAAAAGAAATGTACAAGAGAAAAAGTCCCACTCTTCACTATGCTTTCTTTCCCTTCCTGCTTTACAGTTGGTGCCAGCAGAGGAGTATGAGCGCTGGCTGCAGAGGGGTCTGTCAGTGGCTGAGTCTCGATGCGAAGGCAGCTATCACTGTGCCACTCCAGACTGTCGGGGCTGGTGTGTGTACGAGGACACAGTCAACGTCTTCCACTGCCCCGTCTGTGGGAAACACAACTGCCTGATTTGCAAGGTATGAAATATATAAAGTATATACACAGTGAATTGTCTTGGTGTGCTCAGGGTTAACACATGAGACTGTGTGTTAAATGTGCATTTATGAATATATGCACAACCGTAGTATAACTGGGGTAAAGCTTGAACCTTGGATTAATCAATTAGTAAAAAATGATTGATAACAAGTCCTTTGAAAAAAGAAAGAGAAAGTACACAGCTGAAGGTAGTCACAGTTTTGTAATTAGTCTGGTCACCTCGGGCTAACTTCTGCTTAAAGACAGAAAGGTTTCTATTTTTGTGCCTCAGACTTCCACTTAAGTTGAATACCCACACATCTTTTTCTGTTCTTGTTACTTCAGTCAATTCATGAGGGAATGAATTGTAAGCAATACCAGGATGATCTTGCAGCCCGCGCTATAAATGACTCTGCTGCAAGGAGGACAACGCATCTACTCAAGGTGAGCTGTAATGTGATCTTGTTAATATGTGTATACCAGGAAGAGAAAAGAGATATCTCTTCTAAACAGTCCATCTGTTTTTGGAACTGTGATTACTAGTACAGTATTAGTCGAATGTATCTGTGGTATAGCCAATCCATGTCGAAGTGTAGAGGTATGTCATAATCCATTGATAGATGGCAGAAACAGAAACTGGCATCTACGACATCCTTTCATCTCATATTCTCTCTTTCTTCCTCTTCCTCTCCATCATACACCTTCTTTCTGTCTCACAGACTCTTGTGCAGTCAGGGGAGGCAATGCACTGCCCCCAGTGTGGCATCATTGTGCAGAAGAGGGATGGATGTGATTGGCTGCGCTGCACTGTCTGTCACACTGAGATCTGCTGGGTAACCAGAGGGCCTCGCTGGGGACCTAGAGTAAGACATATTTCTTTTCAATTTTTTTTTTTCCAAATTAACCTACCTTAGCTCCTACATCCTCTGGATTTGTAAACAGTGATTTAGGAGCCAACAAATTATTGTTGATGGTCTACTTCTTGGAACGGTGGCATTATTCATTCCTCATTGTCGACAGATTCTCAGAAAGACTGAATATCTATACAGAGTCCAAATCACTAGTTTTTCACATAAATGTGATTATCATCTTTCCACTCTTATTCTTGTTCCTTTCCAAGGGTCCTGGAGACACTAGTGGAGGCTGTCGCTGCAATGTCAACAATCAGAAATGTCATCCTAAGTGTCAAAACTGCCACTGAGAATCTCTTGTGGTCAGATTGAAGAAAGGAATGAGAGACTGAACTTGAAATAAACTATTCTCTAAAACAGGGAAAAGAGCATTGAGGCATATAAGAAGATATATTTAAGCCAAAACTGACTGTGCGGGATTGTTACATGCAAAACATCCCACTGGTTATAACTGGAGACATTCTGAGCGAATTTCTAACCATCACTTACTGCCAAAATAATCTGTGCCCTTGGCTTTTCAGTGTAATCAGAATGGCAGGAATATGTTGACATTTAGCTCAACAAGGAAATGCAAGCTGTGTGAGTTTAACAGTACAGTGTTAAGCATAATTTCATTGATCACATTTAACTGTAATGATAATAAGTATGGTTAGAAGTACGCAGGAAAAGAGTATTTACTTTTTTGTGTGTGGTGCCTTTTTAAAATGACTGCACTGCAGATTTAGCAATACAGGGGTGTTTTCTGTTTTGGTAGTTACATACCAGGATGCATTAAACTGAAGTGACCTTATTCTTGTGCACAAAAGCTGTAGCAGGGTGTTTATGATGACATTTTCTGGGAAAAGTCATGAAATCCTTGTTGTGTCCTTGATATGCAATTTTCTGCATTGAGATAGATTTAAACAAGTGTAAGTTATATATAGTGTATTTTTTTGTGTCCGTGTGATAATGCAATTGCATGTGTTCCTCGTCACCATACACGTTTGAAATGAGAATGTGTCTGATTGTTGGACCGATTCTGATTCGCTGTTTATGCACCTGACCTAGAGTGGAACAAGACTGTGTTCTGTTTGGCACTCACAGGCTTTCCGTATTTGACAAGAAGTGCAAGGATGCAGCATTCAGAGGCAGTATCTCTCCTGCTGACAAGCTGAGTATTGTATGGTAACATTCCCGTTTAGGTACTCAAATATAATAGGATGTATATGGTGATATTAGCTCGCATACTTAACTGCTTTTTTTAATGGTTTGTGAAAACTTTGTATCCTTATTGATATTTGGAATATTTTCTAATTCATGTGTGCATGAATTTGTTATTCTAAGACGACAACAGATTTTCACATCATCACCTTAACTAGGATAAGAGCAAGTATCTTCACCAGCTGCACCATGTTCACCAGAAAAAAGATTTAAAAAAAGAATAATGAAAAAAAAAGAATACCACAGTATGCCCTCAACTACACTACTGCCCTGCACTGAGAAGCCATGAATAATTCTTCACTGTTACTTGTGTTCAAATGACAGCAGTGTTGCTGATGTTCTGCTGTGCCTTAATGATCAATAAATAACCTTTAAGCTCACAGACCCTTTGTGCATGTTTCAATGTCCAGTTTTGATGAATCTGAAAACCACCAAACTCAGTCATCATGTCTTTGTATTGCTGGAATGGCCAAATATGGAAGAGCGAAAGTTGGAGAACAAACCCACAGTATCAGGTTAGTGAATGTGAGACCTTCCTTTTTTTGACAAAACAAGGAGAACATTATCTCAGTTAAGTCATCAAATTCCCCTTTTGGGGGATTTTAGAAATACAGACCTCAGTGTTCCTAAAATCCTGACTACTACCCTAAAACTATCCTGTATTGTGACAGATGTTTTGCTTATAAACCATACATTTTAAAATGTTATTTCTTTTAATAAAAGGGACAGTATTTCAGTGCCAAATTCAGGAAACCTGCCCAACCATGCCCAAGCCTTACCTTTCTGGAACCTCCATTCAAATTCAAATGTGCTTTATTGGCATGAAACTTTCAAAAACAATGTCGCAAAAGCATCAAAATATAATTTAGCTGAGTGGATGACAATAACAGAAAAAAAGAACAATAACACATCATCAAGCTCAATATATACTGTGTATTAATATATTTACTATCCATTATGTATGTGCGTGTGTGTGTGTGTGTGCGTGTGCGTGTGTGTGCCCTGTCTCCTCCTAGGAGTATTTTTAATTTTGAGAAACTAAAGTAAATGTTTTACTGTACAAGTATATTTTTTGGGCTTTTTTATGCCTTTATTTGATAGTACAGTAAAGAGATAGGAAATGGAGAGGCAGTGAGAGGGGGAATGACATGCAGCAAAGGCCATCCGATGCGGGACTCAAACCGGGGCCAAGTGCAGCGAGGACTGTAGCCTCTACACATGGGGCGCGTGCTTAGACCACTACGCCGCACGACAGCCCCACTGTATTCTTAATTCAAATGCGAAGTCATACAATAACACTAATGTGTTATGAAGTGGTGACTAGTTGATAATAATTTAGATAACAATGTTAGATTCATAATTTAGAGTAGACTAGATTGTGCTAGCTAACACCCACAACTGTTATCACCCACGCTCCTTATTCTTCTGTTTGTACTGACTTGTATCCTTACTCAAAAACTGACATGGACAGCAAACACAACAAAGTATATTATATTGTGCTTTAACAGATATGTCCAAGTTGTTGAGATTTTTTTTTTTTTTATCTGTGAAGATTCTCTGTCAGGTTGATGGATATAAGTCCACAAGAGGCATTTGCATTTCATGAGCAACCATTTCAAAAATTTTGAAATTAGTCATTAAATAGTTCAAATCTTATAAAGTTCTAATCTTAGCATCCTTGTCTTGCAATAATGAATGAATAAGCTACAGTAACAGCACTTACATGAATTAAAATCCATCTTTACTGTCTTCACCTCTCATGCGGCTGGTGAAACACTGGAGCATCCCCTGGCTTCATCTTGTCTTCCTTGTCTTGTTATCATCTTTCTTCCTCTGTAACACACACTCAGACACATAAAGACACACACACACACATACACCCCTTAATTAATAACTCTGAATCCTGTTTCTGTTTGTTATTGAAAACAATCTTCTCTTCTTAGCATTGTAGCCTGGCACTGAACAAAGAAGACAGAAGCAGCTGTTGAGACACTGGAGCATCTACTGGCTTGGGACAAAGTCCTTGCAGCATATGTCTTGTCTTCTCAGTCCATATTTTATGTGCTGTATGCTGCAAAGAGTGTCTTGTCCCATCCTGTTCCTCAGTTTGGATTTGACCAGATCATCTATGAGAGCGGTTGTTCTACGTCAGCATTCCTTAAAGGCATTGCAAACAACAGCAGGAAGTTCTCTGAAGGTCGAGTCTCAACTGCTGTCAACCAAAACCGCCTCTGCCTGCCTGACTGACTGTCTACCTTGTTTGTCCATGGGAGAGATGTAACAGCCTGATACTAGTAGAGCTTCAGCACTGATACTGATCTGAGCAATAATTTTGCTTGTGAGTTTGGACAGATTGTCTCTGTCCTGCTGGAACAGCTAGTTGATCCTGTTGAATTCCTGTAGAAACGCCATTACAAACAGCAGGTACAATTTGTTAACAGCATCAGTGTATATGTGGTGCAGGATTTCAGCATCATAACATCTTTGGTGGTCTTTGGTTAGCTCAAAGTGAAGCTTCAGTTCATCCCCTGTATGTGCAAACAGCAGTCATGAATGTAAAGCCACCATGTACCAAACATCTGTACCAGCGTCAAAGGGATTTCACCAGGATTGTTGAGGTTATATATTTTTCCATATTCACAGTGGCGAAGAGCATTGTGTGAAAACCTGTTGTGACAATAAGAAACCAAGTGTTCAAGGTTGCGTGAACATCGACTATAGTGCTTACACACAGCTGTAAGGAATGGCACACACACTTTTCAGCAGCTGAAGATTTTGAATAAGAATTCTCATTATTAGATTTTTACTGATTGCTCTTGTAATAATGTAGTAATGACTACTGAGTACTCATTGCTGGTGTGATCCCATTGCAAGTCTCTAGTTTCAGATTGCAATAGATTGTTGTCATGTAAGCTTCTTATCATTTGATTTCAGGACACTCCTCCCCTTTTTTAAAAATTTAAATATTAAGGTAATATTAACAAGAGACCATCTTGCAATGGGATCATACCAGCTGCAATGCCTGTTAACATTTTGAATTCAGAAAGTATGATTTGTGCTTTAAAGAACAGCCATGCTCAAGTCACCGTACCCTGCAAAGAACCCAGTAACTATTTTTGAAAATATACCCACTTTCTCTTCATCTTCCTCCTCTTGATTTTTCTCCTCTCTCCCCTTCTCCTTCTTGCGTTTTATTTTTTCTTCCATTTTTTGTTGTTTCTTGAGCAGCTTCTTCCTCTTACCCTGTTGCCTCCATGTTCTTATCTCCTTCATTTCAGGAGTATCATCTGAAAGAAACAGAACAACAAATACAAGCCTGGAGTACAGCTGAACACCTGCAACCCTCCAATCATTTAAGTGTCAACATTAAGACCTTGTGAATCTGACATCTTGGAAAGACATTGAAAATGACTGTTTAACAACAGGCAGCAACACAGACATATATGAAATATATTGTACAGTATGGAAGCTGACTCTCTTACCACCAGCATCAATGGCCTCCTCCTTCTGGTAGGTCTTCGAAATGGCCTTGATGATTTGGTCCTTCTGGTGTTCGAGGTACAGTATTTTCAAATTTGAAACTAGTCCCTTTTTTCGAAAAGATTTATTTCTTTCTGTCTTCTCCTCCTGTATTTCTCCATCATCCTCATCTTCCTCCTCACTCTCCTGTCTTTCTCTCTCCTCCCTTTCCTGTGTCTCTCTCTCCTCCTGTTTTACTCTCTCCTCCCTCTCCTGTCTTTCTCTCTCCTCCCTTTCCTGTGTCTCTCTGTCCTCCTGCTCCTGTTTTACTCTCTCCTCCCTCTCCTGTCTCTTTCTTTCTTCCTTCCTCTCTTTTCTCCTTTCAATCTTCTCTTGTTCCATTTCCTGTCTCTCAAGCCTTTCTCTCTCCTTTTGCTCCCATGTTCCCTCTCTGCCCTTCTCCTTCTTGTGTTTTATCTTTTCTTCCGTCTTTTGTTGTTTCTTGAGCAGCTTCTTCCTCTTACCCTGTTGCCTCCATGTTCTTATCTCCTTCATTTCAGGAGTATCATCTGAAAGAAACAGAATAACAAAGATAAATCTGGAGTACAGCTGAACACCTGCAACCCTCCAATCATTTAAGTGTCAACATTAACTTCTTGTGAATCTGACATCTTAATAAAAATACTGAAAGTGACTGTTTAACTACAGGAAGCAACACAGACATGTATGAAATATATTGTACAGTATGGAGGCTGACTCTTACCATCAGCATCAATGGCCTCCTCCTTCTGGTAGGTCTTCGAGATGGCCTTGATGATTTGGTCCTTCTGGTGTTCGAGGTACCGTATTTTCAGTTTTGAAACTAGTCCCCTTTTTGGATATGATTCTTTTCTATCTGTCTTCTCCTCCTGTTTTTCTACATCATCCTCATCTTTCTCCTCACTCTCCTGTCTTTCTTCCTCCACCCATGCATGTCTTCTTCTTTGCTCTCTAAGTCTCTCTCTCTCCTCTTGCTCCTGGCTCTCTCTCTCCTCTCGGGCCTGCCTCTCTCTCTCCTCCCTCCTCTTCCTCCTTTTCTCTATCCTCTCCTGTCGTTCAGCTTCCTCTCTCTCCTGTCGCTCTCTTTCCTCCCTCTCACTCTCCTCCTGCACCTGTCTCTCTCTTTCTTCCTGTGCCTTTCTCTCTCTTTCCTTCCTCCTCCTCTCTCTCCTATTCTCCATCTTTCCTTGTCTTTCGTTCTCTCCCTGCTCCTGTCTTTCTCCCTCAATCCTTTCCAATCTTTCTTTCTCGGTCCTCTACAGCCTTTCTCTCTTCTCCTTCTGTTTTTCTCTCTCTGTCCACTTGTGTTCTTCTCACTGCGTTCCCTTGTGTGGTTTAATTTAATTGTAAAATAAATTTTAATTAGAATTTTACTTTTACTACATTTCTATAGTCTGTGATCATTTTAGTTTACAGACTGCTCTCTTTAAAGATGTGTAACAACAATTGTACCAGCTATAAAGCTCTGGCTGGACTTAAGACCCTCGCTACTTTTAAGTCATCAGGAATGGATGCACATTACTACAAAAATGTAATCAATTACGCATTATGTATTGCTTATTGAAAAAGTAATCAAGTTATACTTCTTCTTATGGAGAAGAAGCAAATAACGCCACACCCACACAGGTTGCATTTACTCAATACTGTAGACCTAGCAGCTAGTCTATGGTGGACGTTTTATTGACCACCAGAGCTAACGTCATGGTGACTGCACTCCACAAGTCCTGTCAGTCCACGCGGGTTCACACACCTCCCATCTCCTAGAAACTCCCAAACCCAAGTGACCCCTAGGTTAACTGTCACAAACTGCTCCCGGTCACCTCCAGCACCTGTGCCTAAGCTACCTGACAGGTACCGATCTTAATGTAGGGTATTC